CCAGTTTCACGGTCAAATTAGGCGAAATTTATAATAGCACCACTTATGAAAAATGGATTTAAAATTTAAAAAATGACCAACAAGTAACGAATTTCTTAGTTAACACTTTTAAACTAATAATTCTAGACCTATATTTGTCATTCAAGATTTAGTTCAGTGTCCTATTTTGGCAACATCGGCTATGCAGCGTCTTGTCATGGAATCCACTAAGTCCAGTCATAGCTTTTGGGGAGCATTGGACCAGGACTCTTAAATTTGTTCTCACAGTTATCCTACAGTGGTTGGTTTGGAAGCAGCAACTGCCTTTTGGATGGCGGACCACAAATTTCCGATGGGTTTCATGTCAGGCGACTGTGCTTGACCCTCTTACACGTTTAGTGTTGGCCCCGAACCGTTCCTTTGCTTTCATGCTTGGTTTATTTACCGGTTGAAAGCCCCATTCTAGAGGAATTTCATATTCTGAAAAGGGTAGCATTACAGTCTCTATGATATCCATGCAAACGCGCTGATCCTTGATGGTTTTTCTTCAAAATATTGAACCTACTAGTAAGAGAAGCAGGCCATTAAATTAAACCTTTTATTTTTAATGGGTTTCTTTATTGTACTGGCGTTTCTTGGAGTAAGTAAAGTAAATAAGACACTTTTTACTCATTTGATATTAACATTTTCCACCATTATAGGGATGTCCAATTGGCATGCTCCCTTGCAAACATCATGCCTAGTAATTTGTCAGTTGGGCAGCAGGCTTTTAGGCTATGTTGTCTAAGATATGACCAAACTTTCTAGCCCGTCGCTTTTATTTTAAGCTCGATAGCAGGCTTGAAGGGAACTTTCTTGCGCTCACGAATCAGTCTTTTGACACTAAAAGGGGTCATAGATTGTTTTCATCCACTTGTTTCACACTTTTCTTTATAGTTTAAGGCGTATTTAATCATTTTATTGATTTACCTACCAATTGAAAAAATTCTCTGTAAGTTTTGACGTCAAATATAAATATTTTGCTACGTCTTTTCCACGTCTTATTGTAATGATTATTATTAACTTTTATGATAGAAACAATGAAATATTAGTCAAAACCAATAAATACGTGGTTTATTCAAAGTCAATTCCGCTATTTTATGGAATTAAAATAGTGTTAATGGCGCTTTTCCTTTTTTTTTCGCAATATTTGTGGTATTTGTTCTTAAAGTACACAAAAAAATATAAAGACAGAAATTTGAAGATAGGCAACACTTTTTTGTTAATATGGAATACTTAACTATATGAAAAAACTACAAATTTACAAAAAATCGCAATAGTAATTGCTTTTTTTAAGCCAAGAACAAATGTGTTGTAGTGGTGCTATTATTTTTTTCGCTACTATGGAACATTCACGAGGGGTTTAACTACCTTTTTAAGTAGTAGTAGTAGTGGTTTTTATACTCGGTACTCAAATAGTAAATAGGGTATTTTGTATTTGTGCGAATAACGGTTGTATGTCCCCATATGTCCCCCGACCCCAAAAAGTATATATATTCTTGATCAGCATCAATAGCCGAGTCGATAGAGCCATGTCTGTCTGTCCGTCGTAATGAGCGCCTAGTACTCAGAGACTATAAGAGCTAGAGCCACCAAATGTTGCATCCAGACTTCTGAATGCTCACACTGTTACAAGTGTATTTAAAAAATGAGCCACGACCCCTTCCGCCCCGCAAAAGGGCGAAAACCTCCCAAATCTAAAATTTTGAAGATAAAATATAACTAAAAATGACATTCTATACCATATCTATCAGATCACCAAAATGGGATCCGATCGGATCATTATTATAGCCACAATGGAGAAATTAATTTCCAGTGGCTAAACCCATCCCGTCACGTAGCTTATATTTGTTTTTGTGTGCGGGCGCTGCCTCTGCCTCTGCCTCTGAGTTTACAGTGTGTGGGTCTAGGGAAGGGGGGACAGCTAACGGAGCGTGCTGGCGTGAGAAGTGATGCAGAAGGGAGGTAAAGGAGCGGTGTAGATGTAGATGACAGATGAAGAAAAAATATAAAATTTGACAAATAACCGCTAAGGTGCAGATGTAGTACTGAGTGCCGGGTATAAAAGTTGTGACGCGTAAGAAGCGTCTCACACGTCCCTTCTCGTTCTGAACGAATTTTGAATTCCAAGGGCAGTGGAATCTAGCCGGCATAATCTGCGAATGTGAATGCGCAGCTAAAGGAACTGAGTAGTATAACATAATTAAAAAAATATAAAAATGAATATAAAGATAACTTAAGAAAAACAATGATTAGAGAAGAAAATTGCTTTGCTAATTTGAGAATTTCGCCACTTGTGTGCAATTGTTCTTTCTCTGTGAGTTTTCTTTTGGTTAGTTTTTCTTCTTGTTACATAGGGGGTTTGTATTGCACTTCTGCCTGCCATTTGTTGTTTCCTTGGATGTACGTATGTATTTTCTTAACTTTTGCGTGGTTTCTCTGCTCTTCTACTGCTAATGAATAGAGAGAGAGAAGGAGAGAGGTACCATTCCGGTTGCAATATTTCAGCCTTTTAAAGCCAAAACATTGCACATGCCACACTGACCAGACACCAGACAGCACACAACACTTGGAGCACTCCTCAAATGTCACTCGGTGGTTGGTCGGTCAGCTTGATAACTTGAGAACTCTCTGGCCAAGTCCCCGAACCAAGCCAAACAGACTATTGGTATTTTACCTATAAACCAACAGACCAGACCCCAGCAGGCACAGCTCGTTATGTCACAATTGTTCATAGTAAAAACAATTTTAATTAAAGAATTTCGCTAGTTTCGTTCTTCATTCTACAAGCGCTAACTTCATCTTCCTCACTCTCTCGTTCCATCTTGCCGGTCCAGGTGATCACATTGCACTGCAATTTCCTTTAAACTTCCTTCGCAGGCATAAACACAGATAAACTGTACAAACATCGACGCAGCACATGCATGTGTTCAAGAGTTCGTTAGCGCACATTCGATCATGTTTTTATCAAGCAATTTGTCGAGAAAAGGTTTTTAGATGCTATTTGCTATTCTTTCTTTCCCCAAACACTGCTGCAGGGAATGTAGGGAATCGGAACCTCTGTTGAATTGAGTTGGAAGAATTTATGCAATTAAAATGAATGTTCACCCATAGTTCGAATATTATTACTATTATTACAAAAAAAAACTCCTTACAAAACAAAAAACAACGCTTTTTACGCGTCACAACTTTTATACCCGGCACTCAGGACTACATCTCCACCTTAGCGGTTTTGTCAAATTTTTAATTTTTTCTTCATCTGTCATCTACATCAACAACGCTACTCACACCAACACGCTCCTTTAGCTCGCGGCCCTTCCCTAGACCCACACACTGCAGACTCGCGGCAGAGGCAGCGCCCGCACACAAAAAAAAAACAAATATAAGCTGTGGGACGGGGTTGGTTAAAAGTCGGAAGAGGCTTTGGCAGGGGGAGGGCAGAGGCAGGGGCCGAGTGAAGCAGAAACAGAGTGTGAATGAGAGAATGTAAAAAGAACAACAAAAGCTGCGGGACAGGGTGGGTTTAGCCACTGGAAACTAATTTCTCCATTCTGGCTATAATAATGATCCGATCGGATCCCAATTTGGCGATCTGATAGATATGGCCATTTCCTACGGAATGGATTTTTTAGTTTTCTTTTATTTTCAAAACTGTAGATTTGGGAGGTTTTCGTCCTTTTGCGGGGGCGGAAGGGGGCGTGGCTCATTTTTTAAATACACTGGTTTCAGTGTGAGCATATAGCAGTCTGGATGCAAAATTTGGTGGCTCTAGCTCTTATAGTCTCTGAGAACTAGCCGACAAACAATACGGACAGACGGACAGAGGGACAGACAGACATGGCTCTATCGACTCGTCTATTGATGCTGATCAAGAATATATATACTTTATGGGGTCGGAAACGTTTCCTTCTGTGCGTTACATGCAACCGTTATTCCCCACAAAACAATATACCCTATTTACTCTTTGAGTACCGGGTATAAAAAACAAATATAAGCTGCAGGACGGGGTGGGTTTAGCCACTGCAAATGGTATGATATGGTCATTCCTTACGGAATGTCGTTTTTAGTTTTCTTTTATCTTCAAAATTGTAGTTTTGGGAGGTTTTCGCCCTTTTGCGGGGGCGGGGCTCATTTTTTAAATACACTTGCAACAGTGTGAGCAGTCGGATGCAAAATTTGGTGGCTCTAGCTCTTATAGTTTCTGAGTACTAGGCGCTCATCAGGACGGACAGACAGACATGGCTGAATCGACCCGGCTATTGATGCTGATCAAGAATATATATTTACTTTATGTGGTCGGAAACGTTTCCTTCTGTGTGTTACATACTTTGTGCGCAAATACAATATACCCTATTTACTCTTCGAGTACCGGGTATACCACACTTTTAACTAAGCATCATATTATTTAAATTATAAGAACATTTACAATGCAACACCTTGATGCCCTCATCAACAACCATATCGACAAAAAAACACCGAACATACCTTTTCAAGAAAATATCGACAGCCCCATCATCGAACTGAAGTACTTGGTCAATGCGGATTCATCGTCGTGCGATCATCCAATTCTCTGTAGCGATTTAATATTAAAAAAGAAAAAATAAAACAAAACACAATGTCTTCTAGTACATATACATGTGTTGTGTATTTTAATTTTTTAAAGATTTCTTTTGTATGTAATTTTGATAATTTCTTAGTGATTTATAAAGGAAATACATTTTTCGTTTCCTTCCACGTCTCCGTTCTCTTAGAAATTAGATGTAAATCAAATACATTCATATTTGCATGAATGTGTCTGTATGTATTGTGCACTTGTGTTTTAAAACGATAATTGAAAGTTTTCAATAAGAGCAACTTAAATATGCAAATCAACAACAAATACGGACAAACTTTTTTAATTTCCAAATTTCTTAGCTTTATGTATGTATTGTTTGTCTTAATAGAGGGATGTTGTCCTCAAAAGAGTGGTGAAAGTTGTGTGATCCTTTTCTGCATTGTGTAGTCTGTCGTGCCGAAGGTTTTGTTTCTTATTTTTGTTGTATTCCTAAGATTGATATATGTAGGTGTCGGAGTGCTTAGGCAGTGGCCGACTCGGGGTCTGCGGTATCGGAGATACATTCAACGGATTCGGCGGCATCATTGGCGGCGTCGTCGTCGCATGTTGACTTTGAGTCCTCCTTCGAAAAGGATGCAACCTCGTAGATGTCGTTAAAGCCGCGGTCGGCATCGGCTGGCTTCTTGCTAGCAGCATCGTCATTGGAGTCGTCTCCGTCCTGATCGTGGTTCAAGGCGTTGTGATTTGCTTTTGACGGACGTCCGCGCGGCTTGGGAGTTCCCTTATTCAACGATTTATTTGCTCCTGAAGGGCGTCCACGCTTCTTGACTACAGGTGGAGTTGCAACGGCTGCTGGTTTCTCAGGCTGCTCCTCCACGGAGTCCTCGTCCTCGTCGACATCGGCTTCTTCCTCAACTGGCTTGTTGACTTTTGGGCGTCCGCGAGGACGACCAGTTGGCACATAGGCTGGCTTATTCGATGAAGGACGACCTCGCTTCTTGGGCGGAGTTCCATCGCCGGTCCATTCGGCTGCCGGTGCAGCTGGACGTTTCTCCTTAATCGCTTTAGGCCTGCCCTGGCCACGTCCAGAGCGCACAATGTTAAGATTTACAGATCCAGACGGCGGACGGCCCACTGGGCGATGAATCTCATCATCATCTTCATCGTCGCTTTTCTCATCTAAGGTATATATATGGAAATTAAAATAAAGTGAAATCTCTCACCATTTTGCCTTACCTTCGCTCTCACTGGGCTGGTGCTTTCTGGGGCGCCCCAGCTTGCGGCGCTTAGTCGAGGCGGTCTTTGTTTTGGCTGGGACCTCAGCATCTGAGTTGTTAAGGCGCGGGCGACCGCGTCCCTTGGGAGCGAGTTGGGGAGATGCCGCAGTCTTTGCCACATTCTCAGTGGAATCGTCATCACCATCAGCTTCGCTCTCGCTCAGATTGACTGGCTTCTTGGCCGGTCTGCCGCGCTGGTCCTGGACCTTAGCACTCTTTGGTGGGCGGCCACGCTTCTTCGGAATCGTGGCTGCGGCGTCCACCACACTCTGACTTGCATTTAGCTGGCTACCGGCGGCAGCAAGGCTCTTTGGAGGCCTGCCGCGCTTCTTCACAGAAACCTCTACCTCTTCCATGGTTTTGCTGTTGCTATTGCTGTTCGTGTTTTCTTCGCTGAATGCGCGCGTTCTCTCGGCTCTGCAGTGGCGTCCCCCACAAATACACACACACACACGCACGCAAATTTCGCTTATTTTCGATGGCGTCTTTCACTGTGAGTCTTCGCTTCGAATGGTTTAAGCAGGGAAACAAATCTGCAGTTGGTATTATCTTTGCACAAATAGTTTTTAATAAATTAGTTCTCTGGGATGCACTGCTTTGTCCACGGAATTTTCTAGATTTTCCTGACCGCTTTATATCCTTACCCCGCAGACTTTTCTTTCGAACACGCTTCACCAATGGAGTCAGTTTTCGCTGTTTTCTATTTCACACTGCCTTCGCTCCCTATCGATATGCAGTCGAGACTATCGCCTGTACGAGGTTTCAGCGACTTGAGAAAATAATTGTATTTTGGACCAAGCGTGGAATTGTTAGGGGTGAATCACGCAGAATTTACGTGTATGACGCCTATAAAATACTTGAAAAGGCCTAAACGTAGGTTTTTGTTTGTAGATTTTGCACTTCAGTCTGCCGGCCGGTAATAAACGATAATAATGCAACCGATAACAATGCGCGACTGGTATACATAGATACCAAAATGCGATAACTCGCGAACGCCTTGAACCACTTATTTAAATTGTAAAATTCTTTGTAAATTGTTTAAGATGAAGTATGCTCAGAAAAAACAATAATAATAATTCAAATTAAAATATGCCTTTTGACAATCCAACCTTTTCAAAGGCTTGCTATATGCATAAGAATCCGAAATGAATCGACGAAAGCGAAAAGAATCAAGAAACTCAATCAGAATTTTCATGACAATCCAAAATTGAATGAAGTACCAGCTTGGCTTTATTTGGACAAGGGATGTGTATTGTTTACTGTTTAAGTTGCAAAAGAAACCAATGGTCGGCACTTGGCTGGGTCTTTTTTATGTTGAAAGCAAATTCATGGCAGTTTTTATACCCGGTACTCGAAGAGTAAATAGGGTATATTGTATTTGTGTGAATAACGGTTGCATGTAACGCACAGAAGGAAACGTTTCCGACCCCATAAAGTATATATATTCTTGATTAGCATCAATAGCCGAGTCGATAGAGCCATGTCTGTCTGTCCGTCTTGTTTGTCGGCTAGATCTCAGAGATTATAAGAGCTAGGCCACCAAATTTTGGCTCCGGACTGCTGTATGCTCACACTGAAACCAGTGTATTTCAAAAATTAGCCCGGCCTTCCGCCTCCGCAAAAGGGCGAAAGGTTTGTTAAGCAAACCTAGTTTTGAAGATAAAAGGAAACTAAAAGCGCCATTCAGTAGGGAATGACCATATATATCAGATCACCAAATTGGGATTTGATTGGGTCATTATAATAGCCAGAATGAAGAAATTAATTTGCAGTGGCTAAACCCACCCTGTCCCGCAGCTTATATTTGTTTTTTCACATTCTCTCATTCACACTCTGCTTCTGCAGTGTGCGGCCTCCGCCTCTCGCGCTCCTCTGCCTCTGCCAGGACTCTGCAGTGTGTGGGTCTAAGGAAGGGTGGTGAGCTAAAGGAGTGTGTTGGTGTGAGTAGTGTTGTTAATGTAGATGACAGATGAACAAAAAATGTAAAATTTGACAAATAACCGCTAAGGTGCAGATGTAGTACCGAGTGCCGGGTATAGAAGCGTCTCACACGTTCCTTCTCGTTAAACATATTTTCTCTTTATCCGTCCCAAAAACAAATAAGCGTGTACCCAGGCAACGAAGGCATTGGGGATACACACAACTGTTTATTTAATTGTTAAACAAAAAATATACATATAAATATTTGCATGTACATAATATTATCATGAACTCATTTAAACATTTATTTATGTATTGTATCGTATATATTGCAAGTCGTTAATCAAAGAGATATATTCGTGTAAATATGTATATGTATGAATATAGTGTATTTAACTGATGGCCTGCTCCATGGGCATGACAAGTTTGTGGTATATATTTTTTTAATCTTATTTTTAAGGAACTCTCTTGCACACACACACACACATACGCGCGCACACGCACATACATCCACTTACACTAGAGCAGAACTTAAGATTATAAATTTAAAAAAACAAGAAATTTACATTTACGCAAAAGATACAAAAAATACAAATTAATAGTGTGACGGTACAGTAGGAGGGGAGGCACAGGATGGACAGGATAGAACATATAAATACAAATTAATTACAGTATGCGACTTGATGGGGGGGGGGGGGGGGGGGGGGGGGGGGGGGGGGGGGGGGGGGGGGGGGGTCAAAGTAGAGTGCGGGGCGCAGAGTCCTTCCATCTGATACTTAAAGTTGATATTTCACATCTTCTAAATTTCCAATCAAATTAGCTTTTCTCGTTTCTTTATCATATAAAAAAAAGTTTTCAAAAAAAAAAAAAATAAAATTAAAACAATAGACATTGATGTAAAACTTTTTGAATGGAAGGGAGGGAAGGGGAGGGTCCTTGGGGTTGACTTTGGGTCTGGGGTGGGGTTTTTTTTGGCTGCTGCGGGGGAGTGCTGCACCCAGCTGCTGCGTTTGCCTTAGCAGATAATTTTTTTACGTTTGTTGTTGCCTTTTGAGTCTCATAAGTTTTGCAAGAATGATAATAATTTCGTTTCGTAGTTTTTATTCGATTCCAGATTACGCAACGAGTGGCGCTCCTCGGGGAACAAATGCAGACTGTACGGCTTGTTGGCCTTATTCAGAGCACTGATCAGCCGGGAGGTGTGATGGAAGTGCACATTCTCGTCGATCAGCCCGTGAATCAGCAGCAGGCGATTTTCCCTGCAAGAGAGAAACGAATCGATGTGACGGTTACGGAAGCCCTATCACAGATTGGGGACAAGCAAGCACTCACTCTTCGGGGAAGGAGTTGATGTAGTTGAGAACCGATCCGGCCGCGTATCCAGCCTCGTTTTGGTGCGGCAGATCCATATAGCGTTCCGTGTAGCCCGTGTCGTAATACTTCCAATCGGTGACCGGCGCCCCGGCAATGGCAACCTTGAAGATTTGTGGAAATTGCACCAGACCCATCAGGCTTAGGTATCCGCCTAAAAATAAAAACACCAAACAAAAACAAAGAAATCATTACGACCGTCGCCATTTAATTGAACAATGGATAAGCAACGACTGACCGTAGGACCAGCCGTGGATGGCCACTCGTTCCATGTCGATGTAGCCCAGTTGGTCGGCCAGGATGCGCAAGGCATCGACCTGATCGGGGAGCTCCACCTGTCCCATCCGGCCGCGTATGTGGCTCTCGAAGCGCTTGCCACGGTGCCGAGACCCGCGCGAGTCAATGCAGATCACGCAGTATCCCTGAGCGGCCAGCATGTGCATGCGGAGCTGATGCTTTCCCTGGCGGGCAAAAGGCACAGAAGCACACACACGGAATTACCAATGGATTAAAACGATAGCCAAAGCGTTACACAGCGGAACCCACCTTGAAGGTATTGTTCACGGTCTGGACCTCAGGCCCACCGTAGACATTGAGTACCGTGGGGTACTTGACGCCCATCTCGAAGTTGTGCGGCTTATAGACCATGGCATAGACGATGTCACCCGATGGCAGCTGCGGCCGAAAGATTTGCGGGCAATACTGTGGCTCCGGCTTGCCGCCCTCGTGCAGGTATCCCATCAGCGAGATTTGTATGCCGTTGACGCCGCCGTTCTGGCAGGTCTGATTCACCCGCATCACCTTGCAGCTGGGCAGTCTCTGGATGTTGCAATACACCAGCAGCATCAGAGAGCATTCCTGCGGAGCACATGGCAGAACATTATAACGAGATAAGAAGAGGATGACACCGAATCATGGGACGTACATCATCAAACTCCACGAGATACGAGTACCCCGGTTCAGTTAGCAGGCGTATGTGCTCGGGCCTCTGCAGACTAACCACATACAGATGCTTCTCCAGGGGGGTGTCGCGAAGACCCACAAAGTAGACCAACTGATTGGGCTTGTCAAGCCAGATGTTCCTCGCCAGCACCTCCCACTCACCGCTGGTCAGCGCCACCTTGTTGATGATGCGCGGCTGGAGGGCCGACTGCTCAACAAAGCTGGGCTGCTGCTGCTGGGGAGCGGACGGTGTGCCAGCATCGGACTGACCATTGGCATTGGCCAGCACCAGGCTGGAGGTGACCAGATACAGATGCCGGAAGCCCGTCTCCTCTGAGGCCCACACGTAGGTGACACTAGTATCGCTGACCTCAAGGATGTAGAGCATGTCGTGGACATTGATCCAGCTCTCCGATTTCTCCGTGTAGATCACCTGCAGCGGCGTGATGGTGCGACTGTAGAGGCTGCGCCAGCTGTGGTCCCCAATCGAGTCTGTGGGTGTGGACACCTGGCTGCTGTACGACTCGCAGAAGTTGTCCAGCGGTATGAGAAACAGGTCCAGTCGCTGCTGCTTCCTGTCCAGTCCCTGAACCCAAACGCTGCATGTGAATAAACAGTTGTCAATGGCAATCGGTAATCGGTAAATAATAATGCAAATCTACTCACTAGTTGGCGTCTGGTGTCCATCCGACGCGAACAATGTACTCCAGCCAACTGAAGACGGCCAGGAGGGAGTAAGGCAGATCCTTGATGCAAATCTCGCTGATCTGCAGCGACTCGTTCAGGACGAACTGAACGAGCTTGAGCTTTGACTTGGCATTGGTGCTGCCAGTGCGTGGGAAACGATACTCGTCCACCCGGCCATGGACGGCCGTTGATGAGGGGAACGTGTACAGGGAGACTTCCGTTTCGTCCACCTCCTCGTATACAATACGGTAGACGCCATCGTCAGAGTGCGGCTGCCACCAGAAGCCCTGATAGCGACTAAACTCCTCCTGCATTACATACGAAGGAACTCCGGCGCTTAGCGCATCGTCCGGGTAGGAGTGCCGACCGCTGCTCGTGTACGTCAGCCGCTTCTCGTGCCCGCTCAGCGTGTGGGTGACAAACAGATCGCAGTCACTGATGTAGGCAATCATGTCAGAGTTCTGTGGACAAATCTGCGGATCCAAAGCAGTCCACTGCGGGCAGGTGCGTAGTTGTGTGGGAAACAGCAGGCCAGACTGATTGGAGGTGAAAGTTAGTTTGGAAGCCTCATCTCAAAGTACTCTACTCACATTGTAGCCTGTGTCTAGACACTGATACAGATCGTTGAAGCAGGGAAAGACGAGCTTGCCGGAGGGCTTGTGCAGCTCGTAGCAGGTGATGCCCCAGGTGGATAGGCGCTTGCGCTCCTGCAGCAGCTGAAACTCTCTGGCGTAGGGGCAGGAGCTGCCGCCACTTGTGCTGGTGCTTGTGCTGCTCACATGGGCGCTGGGTATGGGCTGTTGCAGAAGCGGATTCCACGATAATCTGCAACAGAATGAGCAACCGTATTGAGCTAGAGAACGGACCTGAAACTGGAGCATGGAATGCCTACTTGGGTCTATGCAGAGGGCCAAAGTGGAAGGACGACTGGCTGGGCCCTCCAGTTGGGGATTCTGCGGAGGTGGTAGGAATGCCGACGCCGGATTCGCCATCCTGACGCTGTATCAGCAGCTGCTGCTCGTCCTGCTGCTGCATGTTGATGTCGGCAAAGAGGAGGGTCGTCTCCCAGTTCTGGGGCGGCGAGCCGACGAAGTAGCAACGGGCTCGCCCATCCGATAGATGGCGGAACTGCACGTTGGTGGGCACCATCGAGGACAGGGGTGAGAGCTTCTTGCGCATCTCCTGAACGATGATTTTGTTCTCTGCCCAGCTCTTGGATGGTGTGGGCGCTGCAATGTGTCCATCGTTGTCCACAGCGTCGTCTTCATCCTCCTCGCAATCGTCGCAGTCCTCGTCATCATCTCCGCCCAGGCCATGTGGCGGCGTGCCGCTGGTGGGGGAGCTGAGATGATTGGTGATCACTGAGGCGGCAGCCACGACCACTTCGGTTGTGGTAGCGGTGGCAGCCGCAGCGGCCGCTTGTATCGGCGATGTTATGGAGTTGAGGGCACTGCCGATCGAGGAGTACAGGGCATTCGCTGTTGTCCCCAGTGAGCCCATGCTGGTCAGGCTGGCTATGGAATGCGTCGATCCCGGAGTGCTGGCCGCACTCTGGGTGCTCATCAGGCTCATCGAGCTGGTTCCCCCCGCCACACTAACGGCCGTGGAGACTCGGGACGTGAACCCGTCCAGGAGATTCACAAAGGAGGTGGCCGCGGCATTCGTTATGCTGTGGCTGCGGTGATGTCCACTGTTGTTGTTGCTCCTGCCATGCGGCTGCGGCTGCTGCTGCTGGTGGTGGTGTGACAACGCATCTGATTCAATGTACATGGTGCTTGTGCTGTTTGCGTTGGGTCCGCCGCCGAGATTCACATTCAACGGTGGACTAGGGGACGAGGCTAGACGATTGCGTTGCTGTTGCACTGACTGGGCTCTACTCCCAGTGCTCTCCATCCTCACTGGCTCTGGTCGGGCTCTGTGTTGGGCTCCGGGTGCTCTCGCTCTCGCTCTCTAGGGCTGCAAATCCACAATCCAAAAATTGACCTAATTTAAGCAGTTTTGCTCCAACCACGTACACACACAGCACAAAACACCACAAGCAGAAAATGCTGGCGGCCCTCTTCTGATTTTTGAAATTCTCACTCATGCACGCACGCATACACGGGACACACGAACACAATAACACACGCACACTCGCAGACACCGAGCGCTGCTCACACGCTGGCTGGCTTGGCCTGCTGATGGTTTGTTGTTATTTCAGTTTACATTCGCTTAACTGCACTGCAGCCGAATCTGGGCGCGATTCGAATCAGTTTGTCCACTATAGTCTCTTAGCTGGATCGCATTGCTTTTGTTGTCCAGTCGTTGTCTCGTCTGGTATTTTCCACACTCATGCTGGCTCGGCTTTTTCTTCTTCCTTTCTTTTCTGTCTTGTCTCTCTGCTCTGCTCTTCGTCGACTGATTTATATTGTTGTTGTTTTTTTATATCTTCTCTTTTGCAAAAAGGAAAGGAAAAAGTGAAAGTCGCGCACCGTGAGACGGTGACGTTTGCGGCAAGCTCAAGCGCTGGCGTCCAGCGTTCTGATTTGTTGCACCAAGTCAAATTTTGGCAATTCAAGTAATTATATTTTGATTTTATTATTTTGCTGCCCAGGTAAATTAAAACAATGAATGAAAATACGATGTTAAATCCCGAAGGGATTTGTTCAAATTTCAGTTTGGCCACACTTGGGAATCGCATCGATATGCTCGATGGTACCACGATAGTTTCACGGGAACCCAAAAATATATTTTGATTATTTCAATAATGGTCCAATTGAAAATGTTATTCGTTTCGAATAGTGAAAGAATCAAACGTAAAGTGGTTCACTTCATTGGTGATACCAAAAATGCACTTGTCAATCCGACTAGTCGGACTACCAGTGTGTTCAAGCCAGAGACGCCTGCAGGGAGAATATTTTAGTAGTGGTATGTACTTTACCGCCATTTTCGCATATGTACATGGCCTCAAACGCTGTTTCATAGCCCTGTATTTGGCCCGTGACCGTATTGTGTGGGGAGTTCATACACCAGCCACGCACGCCTAGCTTCTCGGCCCTCCGCATCGTGTACTGGAAATTAAAGGAAAGGAATTTATGACATTGTGATTGGAATAGGAAGCTTACCATTCGAAATGAAACACCTGCAAAACAACTGCATTTAGTTTTGAGTGTGATAGTTTTAGCTTACCCTTACCTTGCACAATCCCAAATATTTCAAATTTACAATCAAATATCTTTTGAATTTGCTCTAGGGCAGGATTCGCCGGTGTCGGCTTCTCATGTGGCGTAGTATGTATTTGCACATCCTTCGTCGGTATTGGTTCATCCTCAGTTTTCTGTTTGCCCCTTTTCAGATTTGTTTGAGTTCCCTTTTCATTAATTTTCATGACTGTTTTTTTTTATATTATGATTTTTGACGACTATTCGATAGGCCTACTGACCGATATAGCGGGTAACCGTTGAAAAAGAGCTAGAGATGCGTCTCTTGTATCGTTTAATTTTATTTAAGTATTTTTGATGTTGATGGCGGATCCACACAATATTCCTTCTAGGGCCGCAGTCAACTAGTCTCCAGTGGATTTTTCGAAATTTGGAAATTCATTTATATATTTCAAAGATATATTTACGGCATATTTTGAAAATGAGAACGTATATTTCGATCTAAATCCCTTTTTGTGGATTATGAGAACTAAATTTTTTTTTAAAAATTGAGTCGAGTATCAAAATCGAGGGATATCGAGGGTTTAGGTATTTTTGTAGATTTTTTAAATTTTTTTTTGTGTACTAAACAGTGTTAATAAGTACAGAAAAGCATCTGGACCTTACTGTATAGACAACAAATTATTTCGTCAAGTTTGAAGATAAATACAATGCATACAGTTTACGCACTGCTGAAGAACAAATTGAGCGATGTGCATCCCCTGCACAACATCGATTTGGACCAGAATGTGGCATACCTGAAGACTATAATAACAAAGGAGCTGCAGCTGCAGTTCGATGCCAGCGAATTGGGTGAGTGACCAACCGTTCCTTTTTAACATATGCGCGTAGTGCGCATCGCCATTTCGTATGTGCTCAATCATCAACTACGCACTTGCAGAGATCTGCCATCATGGACAAGTGCTCGACGATGTGGAGACGCTGAGCAAGGCCATCCAACCGAATGCGGTAATACACTGCTTCCGAAAAACCAAGCGCTACACGCCTTATGTGCCGCCAGCGGCGTCCGAGATCAACACGAAGCACATACAAGAGCTCTTCTCCCTGACCTCGCACCTGCAGGTGAGTGTCAGCTGTAGGTTCAACATTCTCCAGACGATCCTGGCCGAGTACCCGGAATTTCGTCGCAATCTGGGCGCACAGGCCCTCATTCGCGACTCTGTCCTGTTTAACATGCTGCATGAGCCGGAGGTAGTGCAGAATCTGGTGCGCGACTATCCCCTGATCTGCGATGCGGCCCCCTTCATCGTGGAAACCATACGCAAGGAACTAGCTCGCAACAACTCTGCCACCCAATGTAAACAAAGCAATTCCCCATCTGCCCCTTTTCATACCAATCTCAATCTTAATCCCACTCTTCAATGTCCGTAGTTCAAGAGCAGGCGGCCTCGGAGTCTACCACCTCGTCGGAGGAGGAGAATTCCCTTGGAGCCGGGAGCAGCAGCAGCGGCAGCAGTGGTACGGTGGCCGCCGCCGCCAATCGCCGCGATGAGCTGGCCAATATCCGACAGATCAGCCGCCAACAGCTGGCCAATGCTCTGGCTAATGTAACCTCGTTCAATTCGCTGTCAAACATCGCTCAGCGGAACGCGGATGAAGCCCAGCAGGGTGACGAGAGACCACGCACCACCTCGGCGCCCATTGCCGGGAGCAGTAATAGCAGTTCTGCAGCAGCAGCTAGTGGCAGCAGCTCAATATCCTCGGAGCTGTTTCGCAATGAGCTGGCCAGAGCTTTTCAGTCTCTGGCCCAGCAGCCAGCGGAGAGCATGGAAGTGGAACCGGCAGCAGGGGCAGCCGAGGCAGCAGCCGACGATGTAGATGACGACGACGATGCTGGGGGAGACGACAGCGATGTCCTGCCGCGATGCTATCGCCGCCATCGCTTCACCGAGCAGTTGCGCACCATGGCCGCCATGGGCTTCATCAATCACACACAGAACGTAAACTATCTCACCATGGCCGATGGCAACGTGGAGCATGCCATTAATCTCCTGATGCTCGGCATGAATTGAGTTCTATAAACATATTGTGTATACTGTATGGACTTATATATATATTTATTCTGGTATTTCTGCTGGTGCTTCGATGATGTTAAAGAAATACATTTAGGCGTTTAGCATTAGCTTTCTTTGATTTGGTTTAACTTATCGCCCTCCCTTCCTCCCTGCTGCACACCCTCTCCCTCTCTCACCTTATGCAGCGAATATCTCAAGAGAACTTGCACTCATTTAACTAAAAACATATTTAACAGAGTCTGGCGCCTATTGGGTTGCGGTTGTCTTGGAATAGGTATGACAGGATGGCTTTCGGTAAGTGGCGTTCGAGCTTGCAATTTGTTTACTAGTTGATTAAATAGTCCAGCGCCTTGTCCTTGTTGTTGTCGAACTTGAGAAGCGCCGCCGAGATTTTCGTTTCATCGAAGCCGAGATCCATTAGCTCGCCCAGGGGAATGAGGTGTTCGATTATCTGCAAACGTGTGAAGTGATGGTAAAGGGGATTAGCTTTAAGGAGCAGGATTATACAACTGATCATCGTCCGCACCTTCTTGTCGTCGATGCCACAGAGATTGACAACCTTGGCCACACGCTCCAGGGGAAATCCCATGCCGCTAATGCGTTTCACCAGCTTCTGTGCCGGCCCAGCCAGCTCTCCGAAGGCATTCTGCTCCATTCGCTGAGGCACACTTAATGGCAGATGTGGATTTTGATGCTGCTGCTGTTGCTGCTGATCCTCATTGTGACTGTGTAGGCGGGTTCGGCGTTTCTCTGCCTGCTGCAGCTCTGTTTTTAGCTCCCGCAGGATGTCGGGAACACTCTTGGACTTGGTGGCCGCCTCTGCCTCTGCCTGGCTCAAAGCCACGACAGATGGCGACGGCATCACATGATTAGGGGTGCCAAAGCCATTAGCATAATAGTTATTCTGATTGTGGTAGACCTGATGCTGCTTCTGCTGCTGTTGCTGTTGGTGATAGCTATAGGAATTGCTGTAGCCTTGCATATGATAGACCTGCAATGGAAATACAAAATTGTTTGTACCGTGTACCACACGGCAAAGGTAGCTTTTGGTACCTGGTAGTGCTCCTGTTCCTGTTGCTGCTGTTGCTGTGGCTGGGACTGGATTTGCTGCTGCTGCTGCTGCTGCTGGAAAACTCCATAGAGAGGCGTCTGATAGAGGGACGTGATTACAGTTTGCGCATGGTCACGACCATTGGCAGGAATGTTGCTATCTTCATGCTTGTGGGCATCATCACAGTGAACATGGAAATTGACGCTGTCGAGAGTCGCTTTGGTTTCCGCCAACGTCGTTACAGTCAGCTCCGCAGACGTTCGCATCGTTTTCGGCTCCTGAAATTGATCCTGCTCCTCCTTCTGCCGATCCTGCTCCCCCTTCTCAACCTGTTCCACTTGCAGCTGATGCTGGCGTTGCTCATTCTGTTCTTGCAGCTTGGTCTGATGCAGCACCTGAGCGAGCACATCCAAATCGTTGATGGTCTTCAACTCAATATTATCAAAGGGCGTCGAGTTCATGTTGTACTCGAAGTCGGCATAGTTTAGCGAATTGTTGCGCTTGTGCAAAGTCTGGGCGATGGCCACTGGTGCCGTGCTCAGGATCGTCGGCTGCAAAATGTTGTGGAAATTGCACAAGATTATTGACTTTGATTCGTGGGATTGGGAGTCGTTGCCGGGTGATTCATATGGTTGCGGCACTGGCTGGTATCGCTGATGCGTCGGTTGTTGTTCGTTATCTTCCAACACCTCAACCTTCTCCTCGTCATCGGAGGATGACAAGTCATCGGCACTGGGGTAGTCGACAGCTCCGAGCATTTCCTTCTGCTTGGCCTCCACCTCACGCTGGCGCGCCACCTTGCGTTCTTCCTGACGCTTCTCACGCTCCTGCCTCAGCTGTTGACGCAGCTGTTGCCAACGGTGCGCCTTGCCCAGAACGGCACGCTCCAGTTGGAAGTCATATTGGCAGTCAGGCTGATCTTCGTAGTAGTTTTCTTTGTATTGTCCCAGTCGGTTCACAGTCGATTGTGGCAGCTGGTAGACGGGTGGCGGAGGTTTATAGCGTTCAACTATCTTGACCGGGACATCATCCATGTTATGTTAACGCATTTACAGCGAATTTGGTTAATTAAATGAACTTCCAACTTCCCTTCTACGCGTTTTTTTCTCTTTTCTTTTGTTGTTGCCAGTGTGACCGCGGATTTATCGATAAAATATACCGTGTGACCCCGGAAATATAAAGAATACCCTTTCATTTTTAAAATATGCTGTGAATATACCGTAAATCTGAAATAATTTTCTTCGACTTTGATCTTCTATTTAATATTAAGCTCAGTACTCAGTACAAACTGGGCTGGGCTGTTAACAAAAGGATTTAAGTTTTTTTTCTTTAGTGACCAGGTACTGCTCCACAGGATCGTGCCGTAGAGGGGCGAAGGCGGCGATTTGGACTCAAAACTATCCCAGTTCGAATAGGTAGGCGCCGTTTTACAACTTTGCCACAGGCGCACATATTCCTTGGCACGGCCTTGCTGCACCACCAATCAAAGAAGTCTGCAGATGTTATTCCCAGACATATGCAAATTCTCTGTCATATTTTCAAACTGCGGAATATGCAAAGGGTATCGTTTCATCGTTCATAACTGAACACATATTCATATGATTTATAATAATCAAATGTATAGACAACGGTTTCTTTCCTGCAGATATGGGCTTAATCAAAGTTGTCGCTTATTTCTTTGATTGTCCTTCTCCTCTGATCATGCAAAAGCCGCCAGTCTCACTAAAATAATTTCCTGCATCCATTTTGCATACATTGTTTTATTAACCTTTTATTCAATTTTCACACATTTTCAAAAAGGTAAACAAAACAACACAACTGCCTGAGAAGTGTAACCGTACGGAATGCGGTTTTCACCTCTGGTCACACTCTGCTGCTACCAAAATATATTGCACATTTCGCTAGCAAGTGTGTGTTTCGATCTGAGCACTAGGCTTAAATCTGAAATCATTTTCCTCGACTTTGATGTGCTATTTCATTTAAGTGTTAGGAATTCCAAAAAGAGCAATGTGCGCGATATGGATGTCGAGAACCTCTCAAATCTAAACCCCAATCAACTTTTAGCAGAAATCACACCGTTGCTGGAAGCCACCTCAGACCCAAGCGAGTCTAATGCCCTGGTGCTCAACCATGAGCTGCAACGACGACTGCACCAAGTGCGGGCTAAGGTTTTGGCACTGTTGAATTCTGTGCGGGCTCGATATGCACTGAACGAGGAGATTCTAATACGCCGCCTAAAGCCTCGAACTCACTCTCTTAGCAGGCCTACTAAGGGAAGTACTGAAACCTATGGAATATGTGGAGCAATCCGCCGTGGAGCCACCTTCCACTTCAAGGGAAATTTGTATTTCCGCGATATTGATGGCCGCAGCTGTCCGAATAATGGGGACTACGATGTGCGTAGTTACACGGAGATGTTTCCTGCGGACTTTGATATGCGCTCCAAACATGTGTGGACAGTTCTGGACAAGAAGAACCTGATAATGGGCATCAAGCAACAGGTGAGCCCCATATTTGAGAAACTTTCACAGACTAATTGATCTCCCTACTGACAGCTGCTGGACCATGAGGCCTGTGAAAAGCCCACCAACAAAAACGCTCTGAAGCGAAGGCCCATTGAGCGGCATGTTCGCTCGCTGGCCAGTCTGCTGGTCAACGCCGACAGCAGCTTTAGCATCGACTGGAACCAGATCAGTACTCTGGACCTGGAGTTCCGTCATTCCAACTACAGCTGTGAGGCAATGTGGCGGGTTTATCTACATCCGAAGCTGAGCCGTGAGGACTGGAGTGCTTCGGAGGACGCAGCTCTGGTGGCGGCGGCCAAAGCGAATCTCATGCAGAACTGGGGGAAGGTAGCTTCCGCGTTGGGTCGCCGATCGGACTACCAGTGTTTCGTGCGTGTTCAGATAGCGTTCCGTCAGCACCTAGAGCCATCCTCTAGTGTACGATGGACCGAGAAGGACAGCGAGACACTAAAGCGTCTCGTCGAAAAGAATACTGTTAATGGCCAGGTCAATTGGCAGCTGGTGTCGGAACACTTCCCTGGCAGGTCCAAGTCCACTCTAATCGGACGCTATACGTACGCCCTGCATCCAAGCATCAGCCATGGTGAGCACCACGCAATGCACTTGCTTCCCCCAATGTTTCTCTAATTAGCTTGGACATATTTTAATTGCAGCACCCTTCAGCACCACCGAGGACATTATGCTGTTTGCCGCCGTGGAGGAGTACAATGGTAAGTTCCCCAGCTTTCCACGCACACTGTTTCCCAACCGTTCGCTGGCGCAACTCCGTACCCGATACCACAATGTCCTTGCCCAACGCACCAAGACCGACCCGTGGTCGGTGGTGGACGACACCAAACTGATGAATTTTGTCACGGAGCACGGGGCTGCCCAGTGGGTGAACTGTGCGACGCATCTTGGGAATCACACGCGGACCAGTTGCAGGACGCGCTTTTTGGTAATAAAACGCTTCCTAGAGCAGAATCCCTTGGCAACGGTCGAGGACTGTCCTCGGCGAAGGTGTTTTAAAAATAATATCGTCACGGCTGAGAATTGGGCGGAGTGTCTGGAAGTGTGGCAGCAGGATCCGGAGTCCATCGATCCATCGAAGCCCAAAACTCGTCCACCGAGACCAGCAGCGAGAAGGATATCCAACATAAAGGGCGAGGCCAGCGAAAGCAACGGCCATGTGGCATACCCAAAAGAAATAGATCTGCAGGTCTATGAGTACTTCAAGTATAGCTACGATCTCCAACTAAAGACATCACCGTCGTCGAAGCTCTTTTCGATGCCCAACGATGGCTCGAATCTCGCCTACGTGGTCAAGGTCTTAAACTATCAGCCACCAGCGGCAAAGAGCTTGAAGCCCATTCAGAGCGTTTCAATGCCTCTGCAATTGAGTATGTTTTACAACCAAATGCTGAAGACTTGGCCAAATAAAAGGGACAAGCAGGCATCCCATGGCGCGCTACTCCTGCCGCCCAACTTTTCAACAATGATGGGATTCCGTGCTATTTGCATTGTATCGGGCGACAGTCGAAAGATCCCATCCGACGAGCCGCCATCCTATGATGAGTCCTCGCAGCACATCCAGCAGTTCCGGAAACGTTTGCGAGCCCTCTTTTATCGCACCACTCTGCTGAGCCGACTTGAAACACATCTCTTCGATGACTTGCCCTCCCACCTGGTGTCCTTGCCACGACCTCTGGCAATCTACATAGAATCCGGGGCAAGGCCGACGCAGGAGGAACCTGCAGCCCCGCAAATGTCCCATGTCAACCGAGGGGTTGAGCCAAACCGCAAGAAACCCAAATTGGAGCCACTAAGCGAGGATGAGTTAATGAGCTTCAAGGAGGAGGAGGAGTTCCTGTCTTTATAAGCGTATTGTTTACTTTCGCATCGTACAATAGCCATTGTTTACGCCAAATTAGCGCAAAGGGCTTATGGCCGGGAGCAACTAGTAATTTGTATAAGTAAAATGAATTTGTAGCATTAAGATATTGAAATGTATCGAAAGTACGTACAGTGCATACTCACAGAAGATTGTTGCTATAGAACATATATGTAATATGTGAATATCGATAAAGAAAAAGCAAGATTATTAAATTGATTGAATTCCGACTTGGTCGAACCAGCAGCACTTGGCTTTTTACTTGGAGATTTTAATTACGAACCGGTTGCGAGGAGTTGCGGAAACAGCAATTATTATACAACAAAAATTATTTGTTACAATTTCAAAAACTGGCATCGCCTTATTCCCCAAAATAGTAAGAACAAATGCAATATTTCAGGCAGAATGCTACACATTTTCTGTAGCAGACTTAGTGATCCTAATAGAGAACAAGAAATCGTTACATTAGCGGCTGGAACTGATGCCAGTTTGTGTTCTTGTTAAAGTCCGTCTTCAGCTTGCGTTGCCATCTGGGATCCAATGCTAATTGACTGCTGCTGACTCATTACGGAGTATTATATTCGATGGGCACGAACTAATACCATTCGTAACCTTATAACGCATAACGATTGTAAATCTACTAGTATACCAGAAACTCTTGATCAATATTTTTCATTTGGCTCAACGTGAATTTACTTAGGTGACGTTGTTCGCTGTTGGGAGGACCAATTCAATTTCATTCATAAATTCACCTTGATTTGGGTTGTCGGAAGTTCATCTTTCCTAACAGTTTTATGTTGGTGGTTCTTTAAGTTATTTTATTTGTGAGTTGATTAAAAAAGAGAAGACGGAGAAAAAGTGCAAATAAAGTCCAAATCTCTTTTTCTTGTCTAGCAAAAGTGCTGCTAAGTATATTATTATTTTAGTTTGCCTGCAATCAAAACGAAATACAAATGGTGATGGCCGCATGGTAGCAGCAATGTCGACTATTTCAATATCCATAACGGGAAAATAGTTCGGAACGTATACAATTCTAAACATTTACATATTGAATAATCAGAAGAATTTCATATTACTATTCCGTACACTTTTTTTCGTTTGAACTTACTTTCTTCAGGTGCAATTTCTACATACTTTCGACATGCATCTTACACGGGTGTAACAGCCGACAAATGCATTGCGAGTTTTTCCAGTTGGATTTTTCGATGCAAATTCAATGTGTAACAGAAATTTATTGGCTTTGTTTAAATGGTTTTTTTGTTTACACAGACAACATCAATTCAGGAGTATCATTGTGGGTTTCGTAGGTATACTAAGAATGAGGAGTAGTAATATTACGAGTAAAACAAACTACATACATAAATGCATGGCTACGTAAAGTTAAACGCTGTGCGAAGAAATGATCCCTTATATGACCGTAAAAATGCCTGCTAAATGCACAATGAGTAATTAAATAAAAAGTCTTAATCAAGATATTGTCTTCTTTAAGCTCGTAGTTTGCCGGCTTACAAGCCCTTGTTGTACCACACGGTGTCTAGTTCAGGACGTTTCTTCTCAATATTTTCTCGCACCTCGGATTCCAAGCTTGCCACCTTGATGGCAGCCCGCTGCTTGAAGAACGCACAGCCCAGAGGTGTGGCAAAGATGAGGACGAAGCCGCAGAACAGCGTTTGGATAGGAGCATTTGATTTCGGGTATTTGGCTAAAAATCCCCTTCGCTCAAGCGCGTTCATGAGCATTGGAGTCAGAGCTTGAGTAGAATTAATTGCCAATTAATTATTATGCATGTACTTATATTTGAGAGTGGACTGGACTTACTCATTCCTGGAAGGGCCATGCAAATTCGACTTACTATTACCGCCGATATGCCAACACAAGCGGCCTTCTGGGACACGCCCACCTCGACGTTCTTCTCGTCCAGCAACACGACTCCGTTGCGAATCTCCCTGAAAGTTTTTCGAGTGCATTACGGATCTAGGTGCATTTGTGTTAAGGATCCACTTACTGCATACGCATGCACGGAATGTTTATGCAGTTGGCGGCTGCAACAGCCACAAGCGGCACCATGCGGCCCACCAGTGGATTCATGTTCTTCACGGCCCGGTTGAGGGAGAGCGCCGTGGCCAGGGCTCCGCCGGTGGCCAGGCAGTACGAGGTCAATAGTTGCCTGCGGAGAGGGAGGGGTAAACTCTTAAAATGTAACATGTATCAAAATCAAAACGGGGGGGTACCTACGAGTTGCTAAGGGGCGAAGTGCCCGAGCGGTTTGTGTAATTGACAATGGCGTTGAAGGTTTGATTCATCCACTGCCAGAAGACAACGGCGCCTGTGCTCTTGTAGAAAGCCATCATGCCTAAAATCATACACCATTAGCACACTACATATTTTTCGTACATACATATTTCAATTTATTAATCAAAGCGCGGAAGCAATTTTGGAATGGTACAATTGAATCACAATTGGACAGGTTACTGTCCCACTCACCGCCAGTGATGAGCATGTTCATGGGCATTTGAGCCGACATGCGGCCAATTATGATTTGCTTGTCTCCCGTCTCCGGGTGGAAGGCCGAGTCGTACAGGTACTTTGCTTTCCACACATCCTCAATGGATCGGCACTCGGGCACCTCCTTGCCGGCCCTGTACTTTAGCACAATCTGGCGGGCCTGCTCCAGTTTCGTGTTGGTGGCCAGCACATTGAGCGGATTGGTGACCAGCAAGAAATGCTTGGCCCTGCCCACGTAGGTGCTCTGGTCATACTTGGGCTGATCAATATCAACACGGGGCAGTGGGGTCATTTTCGGAAAGTCTGCGAGTTGGTCCCGCCTATTGAGATAAGACAAATTTAATTGAAACCTTACTCCCACATGATAAGATATCACTATAGAATTAAGATTGGATTCAGGATTGGATTCTGATGGTCTGCCCTAATTGAATTTACTCCTAAATCGTTTTTATTTAAATCGCAACAGTCTCCACTGGCAAACCTCTTCTTATCAGAGGCGGTGGATGCTTTTGACCCAACGCTGCTGGCCTTATCTCGCTGGTAAACAAGTTTCTGCCGGGGAGCCGTTCGATTCTGTTTCTAAATACATACATATGTTTGTATACATACAATTATACATACATACTACGTATGTACATACATATGTATAGGTTTATGTGAGCATACACACATTTGCACATTGGTATCTACACCTGATTCTACATTTCTACAGCACCGTATAGCTGCTACGACTATATTGTGATTTTTGAATTTGTTTGTCAGCTGTCAGCTGTCAGCACGGTTGCCATCAAAAGTTATATTATACAGAATTGAAATCTGTGCGTGCCCCTTACATAATTTCACTGGGAAGCTACGACAACATAATCGACAAATCCATAAGCCTTATCAGTGGGGCCCAGGCCCAGAATGCGGTTCAACACAAGAAGAGAACAGGTTGCTGAATTTACACACCCGTACGTACTACGTAATGTAGGTGTGTGTGTTTGCGTACAAATTGTATAATCTTTCCACCCGACAACACTTACACACACGCACAGAACTCACGAACCGTTGCTACCACTTTGACCGTTGAAAAACGAATGAGACCCGACCCTCCGCCGGCCAGCAGCTCGCTGTCGGCTGCTTGCTTGCTTGCTCCATCCAGAAAGCTTTCGATTAGTTCTTTCTACGGGGGGTTTGTGTGTAACGGTTATTTTGGAGACCACTGTATTTTGGTGCACTGTAACTGGGGCTGGACTTTTAAGCTTTCCCAGCTTTTAGACAGCCTGCTGGCAAGCATCACAGCAGCATATTCACCATTCTCCCAGACACCCTCACCCTCACCATCCCATTCTATGCTCAGATAATTATGATGGCACCAAACGCTTTTGAGCTTTTATACTTTGGACTACAACATAACATTAAATATTCATATTTAATGTTCTAGAATCTAGAACTATGTACATAAATATGCACATATGTTGTATGTACATACATACATCCATATATAAATATGCAAATATGTATGTGCATATACATATGTATATTTGGTCCAGCGAGCAGGTGAGATGGGTCAGAGGGCGGCCTTGCTGAGGCCACTGCGAACAGCGAATGGCCTACCCATGGCCTGGACTACTCAGTTCTCCCCCAATGGTGGGATACTTACATTCATTTTTATTTCTTCAGAGCACCTATCTACCAGGACAGAAACCGAAAGAAATGGTACTCATCTGTTTTGATGAATAATGCCATCATTAAAACTACAATGAGTATCCCCCCCTGAAGTGTTCAAGATCAGGGAAGCCATTAATTTGGGCCAAAAGATGGGATCCTGAGTGGCCAGAAAGAAGGTTGGACATACTTAAATGTCTACAATGTGCTCAAAAAGGGAATCCGGATAGCTGAGCACGTCTCAATATGGAATACAAAGAATACAAGCAATCACTTGAACTATTTCCTGAATTCGAATAGCCTTGGCTTTCAAGGCGCAGTCTGTGAAAGCTGCATTAATCCTCTTTTCAAATAAATTATTGGCTTAATCATTTATTATCTTGATAAGCCCCATTAATTTGCATTAAACTAAGAGCTAACAAAGATCACTTGGGACGCTTTATGTGTATATTTATGCATTTATTTCCGGAATTTTCATTGTTAGACTAAACATAACATCAACAGTTTTGTGTATTAGCAATAGTTCATTATGTTGTTTATTGTTTTTTTAGTGTACATCCCACGAATAAGTGTGCAGTTTATTTTTCAACGCGCTTCATAATTAAATTTGATAGGTTCAATATAGTTTTCTCAAACAATTATAGTCGTAATTAACACATATGTCGGATGTTAATACATTCATATGTAGGCAATATATTGTGTATTGTGTTTTTGTTGTTGTTGTACATTTATGCAGTATATTTTAGTTGTACTAGTAAATTTAACAATTATTGTACAGATACATACATACATAAATGTAAGTATGTACATAGGTGTGGCGTGAGTGTTTTTTTGTTTTTTTTGTAACTCTTAAGTAAAAATGATCGACAATCAATTACATAATTTTTGCTAAATACTCGTATATAGTACTCCATTTATAGATTGCAATTTGCATTAGATACAGTTCAAAGTAACGCGAAATATATTTGATTTGAGTCTGTCAAGGATATAATTATGTATGTAGATATCAAATAATTTCAATAGAACACTGACTGACTGACGTATAAGTTAATACCACTGTGTAACAATCTGTTAAACTGTTTGCTGACTGCTAATTGAAGTTTGTTATCGAAACACCTAACACTGAAACTAGTTTTGTTTACTTAACTTGTTTAGTACTGCAATAATGTCCTGTGGAAGCGTACATACTCGTCTCGAGATGCAGTTCGTAACTTGAGGTTAGATTGGGGATTGGATTGTGCACCATATTTAACTTAATATGTACAATTTGTTCGGAATAACTTCTGGCTTGACTCTGTCTTTATGGATAATGGTCGGGAGGAAGAACGTTGTACCTGGGAAGTGGCCGTAGCAGTTCAAGTAGGTGTGAATATATTTATGCAATAAGTTATATGCATATAGTAATTTCTGTCTTTGTGGGGAGTTTCAGCCGGCGATTGTTCGTACATTTTATCTGGTTGTATCTTAGTTTTTTCATCTACAACTATTGTTAGCATGCATTTAATTCGATTTGATTCTGGGGAGTTGGCTTTGATTAATTCGGGTTCCATTTCGGCTCCTTCTCGTATACCCTACCAAGCACTTAAATCTTTTATCTGTTTCGGCATCTGTATCATTACTTGTACACTATGCATGTGTGTTTATGTAAATATGTTTGTTTATGTTTAGTTAGACATGTGGGTATGTAACTATGTTTTGAGCGCGTTCTTATAGCAGTGCTTTGCTCTTCATGCTATACATTTATGTGTGTATGTAGGTATTTAGTATTTTATGTTTATGTATATACTTGTATTTGTCTTACACATTGCTTGCAGCTAATTCTGATACTGATTCTGTGTCGTAGCCAGATACGTCTGAACTTGCGGCCAGAGGCAAAGCAGCTCTGGGCAAAGTGTGGTAAATGCAGCTCGATAAAATGAACCAGTAATTTGCCATGCCAAGAATCATTCGAAATTATTGTTTCGATTTATGCACAACAATTTGCACCAAAAATTGACATTAAATTTTCACTGTTCACGTGTTCTAATATATGTATGTACATATGTATGTATGTATAGGTTGGTATGTTGGTAGGTATGTAATTCTAATAATGTATTTATGTATTTATGCTCCCGTTCATATTTACATACATTCGAAAATTGACGCGATTAATTGCCATAAGGTATTGTTTTCTTTTCTTATATTTTCTTTCGTTTGAACCCTTTGTTCTTTGCTATTTGAGCTTTATATTTTCTTTCATACTCCAAAACCTTCTAGTGGGTTCTTGAAACTAAGTTAATTCAATGTTATTTAAAGATTCATTATTTTAATATACAAAATATACACACATACATACATAGTACATACATTTTACATATTGTATATGAGAACGAGAATAAAACATCCGAAAACGTAAAAAAATTCGTTGCTCTTGTTCCGTGGCGCAGGGAAATGCGCTCATGGTCTGGATCGACCAGCCCGGAGGCCAAAGTAGGTCTGCCTTTACGGGTCTTTTTGGTGTACATCGATTGCACAGATTCAAATAATATTGATTGGAGAGAGTGAAAGAGAGATCCTTCAAGAGGTACAATACATAAAAAATATAGAACTAAGTGTGATCTGTTCAACTGTTTAACAAAGTATATATGTACATGCAGATAAATACTTATAAGATATACACATTATTATGTACATATGTATATAATGATCGTTCATACATGTATGTACATATGCATAATTAGTGTGATTGTGGTGTGAGAAGTTCTGCGTTGTTCTGTTCGACTTGTTCCTTAAAACCATTTGCAAGTTGCAACAAATAAATCTGTTCCTCTGTTTAAATTGAATTTGTCTCCCTATCTACAGTGCTATTTATCCGGTACGTGTACTTTAATTGTGGTTGTACTCTCTCGTACATACTCTCGTATGTACCATATACATACATACATATGTATGTATGGTATGTTATTTGCCTAAATATCATTAAATATTTTGTATATATATTTTGTAATAAATGTATAATAGTTGTATACTATATATCTGTATATATATGTATAATCATCTTTTTGGTTTATCGTTTCTCTCTTCGGTTGGTGCAATGTAAAAATCCATGTAAAACGCGATTTGAGTATTCAATTTGTCCACTAATTAACATTAAATGACGTACGAGCAGTTCCTCTACCGGTTCCTTTCACAATGACGAACCTGCACTCCTCCTCATGTGGTTATGGCTAGGCTGTGGATGGTGGCTTCATTTTGTTTCTGATGCACGACTCTCCTCTGGTAGTATGAATATGAATATAAATATGTATATGAATATGCATGGGCTGTAAGTATGTGCTACTTGGTGCTGCTATCCTCTTGGTTGCTTAATAAGTGCCTGACCGGGGGGAAAATTGAGTAATTAGGGGGGAAATATATGGTGTGGGATTGGTTATGGATACTCACTGGGACACTCGGGTGGGTTCATGTAGCCAAAGACATTCAATTCGTAGAGCGACGCCAGCGTGATGAAGAACAGGTACCAGAGCATCAGAATTATGCCCAGGCGCTTGTCCAGCTTCCAACCATTGAGATGCGTCGAGAGGATCAGGAAGACGACCGTGGAGAAGAGAGAGAGTGTGGAGTAGGCGAGACCTGAAATGGAGAAAGAGAGGCGAGGGCACTCGAAGATTAGACCAGGAGACGGGCAGGGGTTGCTGCTACGTCAGCTAGAACACACATGCCATGACACCAGTACTACGGGCGGGGAAGGAGACACAAAAGAGACACAGACACTGGGACACTGGGGATACGGAGTACATACCCTTGGAGATGACATTCACGTGCGAGCCGGGCTTTATGATGGCCGTTTGTATGAACCATGGAAGACCTAAGCACACTAGGATATCAAAGACATTCGAGCCAATCGCATTCGACACGGCCATGTCGCCGTAGCCCTCTTTGATAACGGCTATTGAGCTTAGGGCATCCGGCACAGAAACGCCAGCAGCCACGAACGTCAGGCCCATCACGGTGTCGGGGATGGCAAGCGTGGACCCGATCACTGTGATCATCCACACCATGAAGTACGAGTAGAACGAGATCCAAACCATGGACAGCAGGAAGGTGAACGGATACCAGTTGCGGAACTGCGGCTGCCGGCAGTCGGGCATCGTCTTCTTGCACAGGAAGTGGATCGGATACACCACATACCAGGCCACCAGTGCCGGCAGGCCGCCCTCCGTGGGTCGCATTAACGGATCTGGGCGAGGCTCACGCTGCTTGTCCGTCGACTTATAGTACTCTGTGGCTGCCACCACTTGCCCCTTGGCCGCACCCGCACCAGCACCCGCGGATGCCGACGCCGATGCTGCCGAAGCCGCCTCACCCGTCACCACAGACTCGGGTTGATCAGAGTTGTAGGCCATGTTCTCCTGGCCCTGTCCCTGGGTAAACTGCCCCATGCCCCAGTCGTCGACCGGCGGTTGGGTAGGTCTTGCACTGGCAGCTGCTGGTTTCGGTTGATTCTCCTCGCCCCAGGCGGAATTCGGGTCCCAACCGGCATTGGGGTCGCTGTAGTTCTGATAGTCGCTTTGGGGTTGTGTGCCGGTGGCGTTCAAGACATCGCTGGACTCCTTGGACAGGCTCGTCTGCTGCTGCTGCCCCTGTCCTGCGCTGCCCTGAGTGTAGGAGCTCTCGGGCACATTCTTGTAGGTCACCAGAGCCGACTGCTCCTCCTTGCTGGGCAGCTTGAACGGCAAGTTGAGGCCGAGGGCCCAGCGCTCCAGCTCCGTGTTGAAGTGTAGGGCCACGCAGTATCCCACATAGCAGAGCAGCATCACCACGGACTCGAACTGGGAACAAAGTCAAAGATCAGTTGAGGCCCTTAAGCGAGCTGCGGTGCACTTACGCAGGAGATGACGTCGTTGAAGATGATGATCAGCATGACCAGGATGGAAACGCAGTAGAAAAAACAGTCCCGCACCAGTGGCCACCAGTTCAGCTGGCAAACGGTGCCCGAGCACAAGGCGCAGACGGATATCACGAACATAATGTTGAACACTGCCGAACCGATGACGCCGCTGATGCCGATGTCGTCCTTGGCAAAGAACACACCTATAACCACGGTGGCCAGCTCGGGGGCCGAGCTGCCGGCAGCCATGAACGTGGCACCAGCCACATCCGGCGACAACTTTAGCTCTACAATAAATATTTCAAGCTAGTAAAGAGCTCAGGTCTCTGCCGGTCCTGCATGCAGGTCCTCACCTTCGCACAATCGGTCCAGGCTGGCCACAAAGTACTCGTCGCACACGATGGCCAGGCCGAAGAAGGTGTAGACGGCCACCAGGATATGCAAGATGAGGCCGCCGTGCTGGCGCGCCCATTTGTTCATCAGTGGCTGTGGGAACTGTTCGATGGCCGGCGGTGTGCAATTGTCGCGCTTGGGACGCCAAGTCGGGACGGCCCCACGCAGGTGGTGAGTAGCCTCGGTGGCGTCCGGTGGCTGTGGACGAAATAAGTGGGTGAAGTTGGCTGGTGGTATGCCAGCCATACCGTACTCACATAGAACGGCGTGGTGGTCTCGAGCTCCGGGTTGAGCTCGGTATTCACTTCTCCATTAGCCTCGGCATCGCCCTCGTCCTCGGCCAAGCTGCCTACGTCCAGAGGCAGTGCCGATCCCTCCCTGGGGTCGCCTTTGGCCGAGTAAATGCTCACGCAATAGTAGATCAGGAAGAGCAGACCCATGTTCCACATGCGGGCGCGACGGGACCGCCGACGTACGATCTGTGCAGGGTAATCGAGGCCACGGATTACAACCTTTTAGCCAAATACAATGAAAGCCCCAACAACCCACACCTCCTCTCCCACAAGAGCGGCTTATGTACGCAGCGCACATTGCAGCACCTGGAGGCGTCAGTCCCGAGTACATGCACACTCATTCAGGTCTGCGAGTGGCAATTTGCAGCTCGTATAAAATGGCAAGCTTATAAGGTTTATTGCCACCGACTTGGCTTGGCTTTGTGGTACCTTTGTACCGGCTCTGTCTGGGTGCCTGATAGTGGTAATTGGATACCATACCCGGCATCTGTACTGAGCTGCACCGAGCAGCAGCCAGCCCACTGAACGTCTATGAAAAATGTAGAATAAAGCAAACAAAAAAGCAAAACAAAGTTGTCAATTTGCTGCGGGTGTGGTGATACCCTGCATGACAGCAGCATATATTCTTCCGAGATGAAACAAGAGTACCAATTAGAACAAATTAGTTCTGATTGGGATGTCTGAGTAAAGAATCAAGATGAAAATGAAAAACGATGCTGAAACTTTGTTTTATATTTTTAACGAAAAGTAGAACATTTCTCAAGATTTTGCCCAATTAAATACGTGTTTAAATCATTTAATACTAGAAATTATAATAATATACATAATTAAAATGTATGGTTTTGTTGTTTTTACAATTAACAAATCATTTGACCCCTTGTGACTAGCGCATCAAGATAAAGTAGAAATACTGTAGCGCTAGGAATATTTTTTATGAAATAAATTACATATAAAAGACCAGAAAAGACACTTGTCGGATCGATTGTTCCTATGTCAGATATATAATTTGGAAATTTCTTCTTGGCGAACACTAAACCGACCTGAGAGACAAGTTTAAAAAAACGAGAAGGGACGTGTGAGACGCTTATTACGCGTCACAACTTTTATACCCGGCACTCAGTACTACTTCTGCACCTTAGCGGTGTTTTGTCAAATTTAACATTTTTTCTTCATCTGTCATCTACATCTACAAAACTTCTCACACCAACACGCTCCTTTAGCTCGCCCCCCTTCCCTAGACCCACACACTGCAGACCCGCGGCAGAGGCAGAGGCAGCGCCCGCACACAAAAAAAAACAAATAAAAGTGGGTTAAAAGTCGGAAGAGGCAGAGGCAGAGGGACGGCAGAGGCAGAGGCCGAGTGAATCAGAAGCAGAGTGTGAATGAGAGATTGTGAAAAGAACAACAAAAGCTGCGGGACAGGGTGGGTCTAGCCACTGGAAGTTAATTTCTTCATTCTGGCTATAATAATGATTGTAGATTTGGGAGGTTTTCGCCCTTTTGCGGGGGCGGGAGGGGGCGGGGCTAATTTTTGAAATACACTGGTTTCAGTGTGAGCATACAGCAGCCTGGAGCCAAAATTTGGTGACTCTAGCTCTTATAGTCTCTGAGAACTAGCCGACAAACAAGACGGACAGAGGGACGGACGGACAGACGGACAGACAGACATGGCCCAATCGACTCGGCTATAGATGCTGATCAAGAATATATATACTTTATGGGGTCGGAAAAGTTTCCTTCTGTGCGTTACATTCAACCGTTATTCGCACAAATACAATATAACCTATTTACTCTTCGATTACCGGGTATAAAAATAAACCAACAAGCGGTGGATTAGTGTATGTGGTAGGAAACACTGTATTCTGACTGTCTCTTTAAGATGGACAGCGAACAAAGGAACTCAAGAACTCAAGAAAGCTACATAGATATTAAAAACTTAGAAATGTACGAGCCTAAAATGTCTGAGTTGAAGTGCTTATTTGTGTCTAGAAGAGAACCCACGGTACGCAGACGTGGACAATGACCGATTGGCTGGCCAATAGGTCCGACTTGAAATTAAATATGGTAGAGGGATTTGCCATTGTGCAGCCAGAGACCACTGAAGTTGTGTGATGTGACACTCAATACGGCACACTTTGCTCTTGTGGGCTCAAGGAAATACAGAACGCCAAAAGCTTTGAATAGTGGAACAAACACACCCGATACTCGTCGCCATTGGAGGCGCTTCGATTTGTTTGCTGCAGTAATTAGAGGCGTCAATGCCGTGGGCACAGAGTGATAAGCGCTGAACCCACAGCAGCCAGTAAGCTCAAGGCCGGTGAGGCGATGCGAGACGAGTCGGATCGGCAGGAACGAGCGAGACTATACACAACTAGACACTGTCCAAAGCCTCCCTCCGTGACGTCTTTGTCTGGATCCACAGAAATTGCATGACATCATATTGTACAAGTCGTCGTCGTCGGGGGAGTCCTTCAATCACGATGCGCATTGCTAGGACAAGGATACGGGGAAAGGCAGCAGAAACAACGCTCGTAAATGTATTTGAATAAATTTGTTTCTTATTGGCAATTTGGTTGCTGTTGTTGCAGATTTTGCTGTTGCTGTTGTTGCTGTTGTTGCTGTTGTTGCTGCTGCTGCTTCTGGTGTGATAACAGCGAAAATTTGCAGCAGATGTCAGAGGGTACAAGAAGAGTGAGAGAGAGAGAGAGAGCGAGAGCAAGTGGCGTTTCTCACCACAAAAATATACAAACGATGAATGGTGTGGCGTCGGCGTCTGGCTGGCAGAGTGACTGGCAAAGCCACCACAGGGCGGGTGGCGCTACAGTGTTCCCTTCCCCACCCAGAGCACAGGCCAGGCGCCGCCTGCCTTGTGGGCCACTCGGTCATGCCGCACAATATCGATTTACTCGCCCATTCACGGACCCCCTCCCCTTCTGCTCTTCCACGAAGCTTTTACTCTTACGCGCTGTTGGGTAAGGTTGCCTGCCGAGTGAGTGGACTGGAGCGCTTTTTGCTTGACTTTTGCTGTTAGTTACAGTTGTTGTTGCTGTTGTTGCTATTGCTGCTGATGTCGTGGGGATGTGTCGGTGCTGGTGTTGGTGTTGGTGTTGGTAGTGGTAGTGGTGGGAGGAGAGGCAACGATGATGTCGTCGTCAATGACGCTCGCCAAAGTAAAAGGAGGCTGCAGCCGAGCCACCATCCGACCATCTTATAAAAATAAATGGCTGCGCTAACTAAATAGATGAGGAAGGAAGTGTCGGCAGGGCTGATGGCGTGGACTGGGGCGCCTTGGCTTACATCATACACACTCGTGTTTTCCTCAGCGGCGCAAAGACAATGAAGAGGATTCTCGTGAAAAGGATGTAAAAGCAAGAGGAGGAACATAAATAGAGGAAAGTAGACAATTGACTTGCGATTTGCATAAAGCCAAAGGGGCAGGAAGGAACGGGGCGAAACGGGGCTCGGAATTTTAATGGATAAACAGTGGCTCAGCTGATTAGGTCCACACCTCACAGCGTACACACCCCAGCCCGAGCAGGCCCACTCATTTCATAATCACTTTTTACCATTTTGCTGATTGTGGCTGGTGCTGTCGATGGAGCCAACACTTTTCAATAAAACTCGGCTTGAAGCTCTCTCTCTCCGTGTTTCGCTCAGGCTCTTCTCAGTTGGAGTCGTTAGATGGGATTTCGAATCGGAAAACAGATACAGAAGAAAACCGTTGCATTGGAAAACATATGAGGAAATGTGGCCGGGCCAGATATTTTCAGTTCACTTTTTCGTTTTCTTCTCTGCTATCTATTCCGTTAATCACTCCACTTTGATCCACTCGCTGCAGCTGTTTTTCGCACAACAGTCAGTAATGCATTTTTGCACCGACGCAACGCGACGCGACGATTTAGTTATTATTTAGTTTTCCACTTTTCCGTATTTTTTTCAATTTGCAGAACGAGAACGAGAACGGGCTGTGCTCTGCTGTGTGTTGGTGTTTCTGATTCTGTTCTATGCCTTGTGGTGTGGTGGGCGGATGTGTGCGTGAGTTTCTGTGTGTCTGGTGTGTGTGAGTGTATGTATGTGTGGTTCGACACGAGCGATGTGCACTTATTCGCGTTCAAATGCTAGGGTATCAAGAGCAGCAGCAGCAGCGTCAACCGACTCCGCCAAGTTTTGGAAATTCAATGCGCACTAGTGGCGCGTCGCCAAGTCTGCCGCACAACTTCGCACAGTGTCCGCGCTGGGGCGGAGGCGAAGGTAGGTGGTGTCAGAAACCCACCACAGCCGAGCGCGTCGCCAGGAAATGGCAGACTGTGGTGGCTGGCGCTGGCTGTATGGAGTGGGTGTGGGTGCTGAGGCGGAGCTGCCAACTTGCTGGGCTGAAACCACGCAGCGCGCCATCTGTTGGAGCTTTGCGCAACGGCTGCAAACTGAAACTTGAACGCAATTTCCCGTCCGTGCAAACAGTTTGCATTACGGAGAATAACAATGGCCCGGCATCGCTTTTATTTGTTTGTCTATTATTTATATGCGCCCTCCCTCGGCCAAAGCGTCAAGTGCATTGGGCTGGTCAATAGCAAATAGCAAACAAACGATCTTCCCAGCCGACGCACCATTTGAAGTGCCGCAAAGGACATCAATTGTCTGGATTTTGCCACATTATCCTTTATATTGCGGCCATACGATCGGCAATCAATGCCGATGATCGGGATCGGGTCTCTCAGATGTGCAACGTGACATGGCTAGATGCCGCACCCTTTGATCTAGCCGCCAACTATTGCCCCGAAGGGACTAGGGCCTCTTGCAAAAACAAAGACAGCTCGGGGAGGACACTTTCGATGTCACTTGTAGAAATCGGCATCACAATGACGGATTTACCTGTTGACACCTCACAAATAGACAATTCTGCTAATTTATAATAGGAGCGCTCTAGAGGCTCGAATCGGCCCAGCAGCACCAAGAAATATGACGGCTCGCCGGAATTCAATTTTAACAGGTTAAATGGCTCAATCATTAGTCGGTACTTCACAGGACTGCTCACTTTCCATCACCTCACCGAAAGGCGGGGTCGGGCAGACGTTCAGTCTGCGAAACTCGCTTACCGGGTAACTGAGCGCAGTAGTTCCCGGAAATTAGAGCGGCTGCTCCTTTGAGTTGACAGAAGTAACGCAGAAATATGACTTCGATTCAAAAATCTCAGGGATTGGATGAGGGGCTTGGCTCTCTTTCTGAGAGTGTCAATTGCCGTGCAACTATTAAGGCTTTGTTAGCTATCACTCGTTAAGGGAGTCCTTAAAGGGATTGTAAATCAAAGTCAATCACGGGAGCTAGAGTTGTCCCATACCATATGTGATATCTTTTTATCAAACATATCAATGGCTTTCAGTCAAAAAAGGTTACCTTTTATTACACAGAAAACCTTGAAGATTATATCAAAAGTTTCAGCAAAAAGTCTCTGTGGAGACTTTTTGAAGTCTCCAGCACAACTTTCTTTTCGAAATTTTGAAAAAAGCTAAGAGATTTGGAGATTAATTATAACTCCGATTTGAGCGAAAGTTGATTCAATATATTAATGCAAATATCTAATAAATCTTTGTGAGAAAAACGACGAATAATAAATAACTGGCGGTCATTAAATATCAGAATCAAATTAATCACGTGGTCGTCGATTGTTCATAGTCGTTTCTTCTAACGTTTCAATAACAAGTAACCGAATCCAATCTGCAGTCTTGTAGACTAAACCGACATCAAACCACAATCAGCCACACACCTTCGCACATGCCAATAGGTGTCAAGTAGCCTCTGCCCACGGATGTACATACATATGTACATATGTATGAATGAAATGCCCGACTGACTCTCTAGGTGGCATGATTCTTGGGCCGTTCAGTTTTGAATTCGTTTATAAACTAAATACAAATATGGGAACTAAAATGCGTTAGCTAATCGATTTCACACGCTCAATTTAAGCGGCGACCCAGTGTCTGCCACAGCAGCCACAGGCCACGGCCAGGGCCAGGGCCAGGACTCAACCGCTAGCCGCATTGGCGACCGCAGGACGAAGTAGCTACGAAAGGTGGCACTCCGAGTCGATGCGAGAGACGAGTTCGCACAAAGGCCCGGGGTCATAATGGAAAAGCAGACTCAGAAATGACTTTTCTTTTGACGCAACTGCCCGAAATTGGCCCGCTCGTCATTATTTATATGCCACTTTCTATGCGGACAAAGCGAGGGAAGGTGTCAGCCAGAGGTGTCAGCCACAACCCCAGCCCCTCTCGCAGATCATGGCGAAGACGTGCCACAGTCCTTCCCCGTCTTTGGTTCTATTGTTTCATTGTTAGGAACATCGAGTGGCTGCTTGGCCGTGGTTTATAGCGAAGATGAAAACGGGTAGGGACTGTGGATTGGCATAGGGAGTGGGTATAGGGAGCAATCCTTTGTCTGTGGCGACTCAATAAAGAACTTATTGTGGACAAATTTCGACATTTTTGAAGCGCTGTTTATGGTTTGGTTTGTCTCTTCTGTGTCTTTTCGGGTGTACATACTTACTTACATATATGTATGTATGCCGTTTGTCTGGCTGGCATCAAAGGACATGCTTGACTTTTAACAGGAATCAATTTATTGTATGCGAAATAATCGTGTTGATGGCTGCCTTCTCGCCCCTTTTTCTCCCTGGCACAGCCTTTTTCTCACTCTCTCTCTCTATCTATCTCTGTCCTGTTTTCTCTCACTGCTAGCATTCGGGTTTGGTTTGTGGTCGCACCAACCCTGGCCTCAACCCCCTAACAGCGTATTCCGATTGCTGTGACGGGGTTTTGTCTTCCCTTGGAGAGCATAGGCATAGGTGAAGAAGGGTGGAAGTAATTTTAATTTATGACGTCAATTTACAGTAGTTTTTGCGGTTTCCCCCGTCAGACACTCGGATATTGTCACTGGAGCAGGCTCAGCATACATATCTGATTGGGACTGAATTTCGCTATCTTCTCATCCAACTATCAACGAACGGCAATCAATCAATTCGCCAAACACTTTACATTACTTCTAGAGGGGTTTTTTTTTTGACAAAAAACGCACTTTTTGTGAGCAGTTTTTATTGTACATTTGGAGTGGAGTTCCGCAAAAGCGTAACAGCCAAAAATCGTTGGGCGATCAATCAAAACGAGCTCAATATTTTGCAATCTCAACTATTGCACAGCCCTCGGAGGACGTGGGCCATGGACTAGCATCTGCAAGGTTGATGGAGGATCGTCAGATCCACGTTGCACTCCTACAACGAGTCAGGGGCAATTCACTCCACATCAATTCATCATTCATCCGAGGCCATTCAGGAATTTGCCATCCATTCATCACGGTCTGGACGTATACTCTCCACAGAATAAGAGACAACCCAGTGTCAGCACTTGACAGCTGACCAGGACCCGGGGCCGTTAGGTAAACATGAATTTACCGGTTATTATTAGCACCTTTCAATCATAATTGCACCCTAGGAGTTACCCAACTCCGGCCCAGACTCTGTCCCAGTCCCAGTCCCAGTCCCAAGCCCAGTTCAATTGCCAACTTCCTACCGTTTCTTTGTCCAAGAAAATCTTTGCATCTACATTTACATTCATCCACAAAGGTCAGTCGGCCCGCATTGAGATGATCATGTGTGTAAAGGCTTTCTAGCAGTGGGTCTGGATCGGTCAATGGGCAACGCACCGGTAGCATTGTGTGCCTTCTGGAGAACTCCCAGTCCATTGTGGCACGTCTCTCTTCAATTTGCATTTGACTTCCACCGGCCTGTGGTGGGCGAGGCAAACCACTTATGTGTCCTAACTTCTCGGCGGGAGTGCTGCAGGTCTCCGTCCGCTGAGCGGTTCAACGGCTCGGTTTGGCAGGCGGATCAAGGCTCGGGCCGCTCCTGGATCCTCCCAGCCGAGTCACTTCCTGGCTCGATGGGAGCGTGCCGGAGCCGGCAATTGTTACAGATTTGCACACATTTCTTTTGCACTTTGCACTTTGCGCACGCTTGCACAAATCTTTCAATCCTAAGGCGATTTCATCCGCTAAATCTGTTGCAAGCTGCACAGAATGTCACACGGCCAATTGAAGAAATGAACAATAGAATACGAGAAGTGCCAAAATTCATTGAATTTTCGTACATTCAGATTAAAAAAAATATATATTTCAAGCGTTTCTTAATAAATATGTTCATATGTGCTCATATGTTCTCATTTTATTCTATACACGAATAATGTTCGAGTTTATGTATTTATGTATTTTGGAAATATTGCAAATCAAATAATGCATACAAGTTTACGTAATATTTGAGGTGGAAAATTACTATACTTTATTCTACGATGTCTGATATCCTCTCATAGTTAGTTGCCAGAGAACTGACAGGAAGAAGTACCACAGGGTATGGCAGGGGTTGGCGTAACTCGGTCGCTCCACCTCCACCGCCCTCGAAAGTGTTGTTAGCCTGCCATTGCCGAGTCCGTCTAATCCTGGGCAGGTACGCAAAATAGCGTTGTTCTTAGTACCGTATTGGTTGTCTGTCGGTCTCCAACGGATCAGCCATCAGCCAGCACGACTGTGACATTGTTCGAGGGCGAATATCCGTTAATAATGGAACGATTACCCTGACGAGGTCAACACTTTGCATACAAACAGACAAGCAGATTGAGGGATAGGATCGAGAAGATCCAACCATACGAGGATGTTCTACGTATGTTCTATGAACATATCTGCATATTCATATTGAAAAGGCAGCAGGACACGCAGGACAAAAGGCTTGTCTCGCCCTTGTCCTTGTCCTCGTCCTCGTCCTCGTCCAGTTTTCAGTGATTAAATGAACTGCTCTACAAGCGGATTATTGGATTTGAGGTT